AGTAAAATATGAGCGGCCGACTCCACCTGTTCTAACAAGCAAGAGCAAATTCTCTGGTGCATGGGAGTCCGGTTATATCCACCATAAAGTACTGCTGAGGGTAACACATCAAGCTGGGCTCTAGTAAATGCCCATCTATGGTTAGGGTTTTTTATGAGTCCAAGGTAAGATGCGGCATTTAAACTAGGTCCCAGCTTTAATCTCTGATAATAGGGGGAAATAAATGTATTAAGATTAGCTGTTGTAGATTTCCCGGGTTGTGTGGCCGTGGTCTTGGCATTGTGGGACCTGACGTTTCGCCAGTAACTGTGACTGGCATCCTCTAGATGTATTTATTTATTTATTTATTTTATTCAATTTATACCCCGCCCTCCCCGCGATGCGGGCTCAGAAAGATGGCGTACTCTCTGTGTCAAGGTGAGAAGAAGAAAAATGGTAGGCAGGTAATTTATATCTACTCAGGAAGGTGGGGTAGGGCTGAGTCATTATCTTGTAGGCGTCCCCCAGGCTATGAACATGCTAATGGAGGAGCTTTCCTGAGGAGGTTCTTTTGTATATGGATTTGCTGTTTCCTGTATGTATTAAGACTGGAACTGCACTATGAATAGGAGTACATAGACCTTGGTACCTTTAACAAGGGTTGAATATTTGTAATACATTTTCTTGCAATTTGCTCACGTTTTTTCCCCTTGTATTTATCCTCTTTCCATGAATCTCTTTGCTTATTTATCCACCTGGAGGTTGGCAACCCGTTTTGCAATACCCCCTCGAGGATGACCTGGCATCAACCTTATTAATTATTTTTTTTAAGGCACCAGGCTTTTAACGGATGAGCTCTGCCTCTTAAACATTTCATGATCTGCTTCTGACCTGATGTGCATATTTGGAGGCTGTTATACCCAGCCTCTTTTAATGGTTTGTTTTTCCAAGATGTGTTTTAATGGCGTGGCTTTGTTTTATTTAGTGGCTTCTAAAACGGCGTGGTGTTTCGTTTTTTTTAATGGTTGCATTTCACCAGCTTTGTTCCATTGTCTTAGTATCAGGGTCCCTAGTCAGGTCACACCACACAGAGCTTCATAAGAAGACAACTGTTTATTAGTGGTTCCAGTACTAAAGAACACGTGTACAGATTGTGTCAGGAACAGCCTTCAGTATACGGGCCTCTGAAATCAAACATTCCGCCCCCCCCCCCCCAAGCACAAGGCAATGGATATAGTTCGTGCGTGCAGCAGAGCAAGTGGGCAGAGCAACCGAGCTCTTAACTTTCCCAGCCGTAAAATTGGTAGCTGGAACATCTGCAAGGTCAAGCATAAGATTGTCCACCTTAACCTGGCCCTGGAAGAGGGAACATCAGTGGTTCCCGGGGCAGACGATGCTGAGGAATAGAGCAGTGGAAATAGAGCAGTGGTATACGCCATCTTGTGATATAACATCTAGAGCACTTTATTTATTTAGTAATTGGTTAATGTGATTTTATTTGTACTGTAGTGATCTTAAACGATTTTAAATATGTTTTTATATTGGTGCATGCCTCTCTGTAAGCCGCCCTGAGCCCGTGCTGCGGGGAGGGCGGGGTATACATTGAATTAAATAAATAAATAGATAGATAGATAGATAGCACACAGTAGCAGGGCAGGAGAGAGCTGAGAACGAGAAGGAGATTACCCCTCCACATTCCAGACCTATGACAGGGCTACCTGACACTTAGTTATAAGTTGCCTCGATCAGCCCTTTAGAGAAGCTGCATATACATCTTCTGAACCAGCGGTTCCTTACCTTCTTGGTTTGGTGACCCACAAGTCCAAATGTACTTGGTATGGTGACCCAGCCAGGGCTGGCCTAAGGGGTTTTTTGGCACCCTAGGAAAACTATGACCTGCGCCCGTCTAGTGAAGTATACCATTTTCTACAGAGGCTAACCTGGGGCAGTGTCTGCTCTGTATCCTTGGTGCTGGGGGGGGGACTTTGGGAGGGCTTCTGGAGTTCTGGCCCAGCTGGTGGACCTCCTGATGGCAGTGTGGTGTAGTGGTTAAGAGTGGAAGACTCTAATCTGGAGAACAGGGTCTGATTCCCCACTCTTCCACATACAGCTGCCGGTGTGACCTTGGGTCAATCACAGTTCTCTCAAGAGCAGTTCTGGAGAGAGCTCTCTCAGCCCCACCTACCTCACAGGGTTTCTACTGTGGGGAGAGGAAAGGAAGGAGAGTGTGAGCCACTCTGAGATTCCGGGTGAAGGGTGGGGGATAAATCCAATCTCCTCCTCCAACTCCTCCTCCTCCTCCTCTTCTTCTATGGCAGAGTAGGAATTCGAACCTGGGTCCACCAGATGCAAGTCTGACACTTTAACTACTACACCATGCTGGCTCTCCTGGCACAGAAGACATTCTGAAAAAAGCATTAATATCAGAATAATTAAGTGCCTGGCTTATGGCGACCCCTCACAAGGTTTCCAAGGTGAGAGACAGACAGAGGTGCTTTGCCCTTGTCCACCTCTGCCTAAGCAGTCCTCGTCTTCCTTGGGGATCTCCCATCTGAACACTAACGACGGCCAGCCCCTACTTAGCTCTGATGAGCTCAGATGAGTCCAGGCTACTCAGGATGCCAAAGAAAGCATTTTGCGTGCCATGCCGCCAAGCTGCTTCCAACTTATACCGACCCTATCAATCAGTGATTTCCAAAATGTCCCATCGTTAACAGCCTTGCTTGGGTCTCGCAAACTTTCTTGATTCAATCGATCCATCTCCTGTTGGCTCTTCCTGTTTCCCTGCTGCTTTCGACTCAAGAACATAAGAAGAGCCCCGCTGGATCAGACCAGTGGTCCATCTAATCCAGAATCCTGTCTCACTGACACGGTGGCCCAGCAGTTCCTCTGGATGGCCAACAACAGGGCACAGAGGCTGAGGCCTTTGTAAGAACATCAGAAGAGCTGGATCACACCAGTGGTCCATCTAGTTCAGCACCCTGTCTCACACACTGGCCAACCAGTTCCTTTGGAGGGCCATCAACAGGGTGTAGAGGCCAAGCCCTTCATAAGATCACCAGAAGAGCCCTGCTGGATCAGACCAGTGGTCCATGTAGTTCAGCATCCTGTCTCTCTCAGTGGACAACCAGTTCCTCTGGAGGGCCAACAAAAGGGCACAGAGGCCGAGGTCTTCATGAGAACATAAGAACAGCCCTGCTGGATCAGACCCATAGTCCATCTTGTCCAGCATCCTGTCTCACACAGTAGCCAACCAGTTCCTCTGGATGGCCAACAACAGGGCACAGAGGCTAAGGCCTTCGTAAGAACATCAGAAGAGCTGGATCACACCAGTGGTCCATCTAGTTCAGCACCCTGTCTCACACACTGGCCAACCAGTTCCTTTGGAGGGCCATCAACAGGGTGTAGAGACCAAGGCCTTCATAAGATCATCAGAAGAGCCCTGCTGGATCAGACCAGTGGTCCATCTAGTTCAGCATCCTGTCTCACACAGTGGCCAACCAGTTCCTCTGGAGGGAGGGCCAACAACAGGGCACAGAGGCCAAGGTCTTCATGAGAACATCAGAAGAGCCCTGCTGGATCAGACCAGTGATCCCTCTAGTCCAGCATCTGTCTAACATGCAGGCCAACCAGTTCCTCTGGATGGCCCACAACAGGGCACAAAGGCTGACGCCTTCCCCTGATATTGCCTCCTGGCTCTGGGATTCAAAGGATTAGTGCCTCTGAATGTGGAGGTTCCCCTCAGCCACTATGGCTAGTAGTCATCCATCAACTTATCCTCCATGAATCTATCTAATCCCCCCTTTAATGCTGTTTATTGCTGTGTCCATCACAACCTCCTCTGGCAGCGAATTCCACATTTTAATGACTCTCCGTGCAAAGTAGTACACATTTCCTAGCATTATTGTCTTTCATTTCTTTTTACAAGGATGCTGTTAGAAAGCAGAAGAGCAAAGCCAGACATGACCATTGGCAACCTTACTTGGCATTGCAGGGTCACTTCTGGATCCTTGGAACCCATTTCAGACTCAGTTCTGCCAGCCAGTAGCTGGAAAGCAGAGTGCCTCTGAGCAGGAGTCATTTAGTAGAAAAAGAGGTGCAGGAGCTCATT